ACTTGAAAAGTAACTTCTACTTGTAACTAGTTACTTTTGGTGAGAAGTAATTCTACTGGTAATTAATTACTTTTTGGATGAAATACTTGTAATTGTAACTAGTTACTTTTCATAAGTAACGTGCCCAACACTGGCTATAGGGTACAGCCAAAGAAAGACCCCTTACTTTTAGCCTTAATAACTCTGTACTAGCCATTCCTTAGTAACTTCTGCTGTGCATAGACTGATATGTTCTCAACACATCTTTGAAATTTCAAGCAAATTCATTCCATTACAACAAGGCTATGAATGATTATTCAAAAGAAATCAGAAATTGGAAATGGATTGCAGACTTCAGGCCCTGCAGAATGACAATACTTTGAAATTTGCACTTGTAGCATAAAGGCTCTTCCTCCCTCTAACCCTTTCAGACCTGAATTTTGGCCACTATCAGAATTATGTATATATTTGCATTTTTTTTAGCTCTATTATGATTTTAATTGAAATTTTCGTGCTTTTTGTATATTTTGTATAAATTTACCATATCATACCATATATTATTTATTAAACATTTAATTAAATAACTGAAGATTAAAATAGTAAAGGGTAAGAGAAGGCCTCGGATGGAACTGAGCCATGCATAATTACACCCATTTTAGTGTAATATGTAGCACAAAGTCATGAGAATTTTAAGAAGTTGCCATAGACACAATGTAAATGTAATGTCCATTGGAATGGATGCCAGGTCTGAAAGGGTTAACTCTCAGCAGGGACCCCTTCCCATTTTCATATCAAACTTCTTTTTTAACAGTTTCTCTTAGCCTTGCTTTGGCATCATGAATTTTCTTGAAATGTCATGCTTTATGACAGCACAGTATCCTATGCAGGGTGCAATAATAGTGAAAAGAGCAGAGGTAATTAGTCAAAATTCAAGGATCTTTTTTTTTTCCATATCCTGTATTTTAACTGAATAGTTGTTACAATATGAAGAAAAGAGTATTTGACTCCATGCCAATTGACAGTCAAATGCACCTACATGGTTTTTGACCTCCAGGTTTCACAGGCAGTACTGATGACCAATTGATAGACCTTGGCCGTCAGCCAGGGGCGCAAGTACAGGTGTTCATGGAAGAGGAAATGGATATTCGTATATTGGAAGAAAGAGAAGCAGCTATTCGTCAATTAGAGGTTTGTGAAGACATACCAAATATAGAGGTAGAAGTGCTTGAATAAAAGTCTGTCTAATTTAAAAAATCATGGAAAAGGAGAAATGAAAAACATTATGCTGGTGTTTTTCCCTCTGTGTAACATTAACCCTTTGAGGAGTGAGATGGGAAGCAAAGATGAGGGAAAATGAAGTTATGAAAAACATTTTACTTGGTTCACTTTAGATTAGGAAAAATGATTTTTAAAAATTAAAAGCTCACTTAATTACATTGCATTTAAAAAAATATTTGCCCTCACAATACATTTTCATTTTAGTATTTTGCTAGGGTGTGATGTATACATGTGCACCCTGTGAACTCAAAAATATAAATGTAGACAAATATTTGCATGCTCCTCAAAGGATTTGATGTGTTGATTTACAATTTTCTTCTTTGTCATTTTTTTTAGCTGCAGTATCTGTAAATTTAAAAGCAGCAGGAGAGTCATACTTTTCATTTTAGGATTGTAGCATATTTAATCAATCAAAAAATGCATTAAGTCTATTTCATGAAGCTCTGATGATTCAAGGAGTATTACTTTAAAGATTCTGGTCTTGAACTAGACTGCTGGTAATATGGAATTCTGTGTTGAGGCTGAAGCATTCTTTGTACAGTGTTCAATAAGTAACTCAGAACCTTTTCTTTAAGGTTACTTAGGTAATGGGCAGGAATAAAGCTTCTTTGAAATGGTGAAGTGAAAGTTCAATTGTAGCAGTTTTTTTAAGCTGTTACAATTGAACTTTCAGCAGCTGAACTGGCAGCACGAAACTTGTAGGGTGCTCCAGAAAACTAAGCAAGAAAGCCTAAAATTGTATGCATTGCTGTCTGTATTTGTAGGACTTGGAGTGAATTGATTGACAGCTTGTAGCTGTGATCTTGCAATTTTTTCCTGTAGGGCTATCTAAATAAAAAATTGTATGCTTTCAAGCTCCAAGACCTGGTCTGGTTGAACGATGCAGGAGTTTGCTTCAATTCCCTTTGCAATGTTCACAAGTGCTGTTGTGCCATTCACATGACCACCAGAATCCAAAAGTGCAGGGATAATTACTATGGTTAAGTGTAATTTTTAGCATTTTAGCTTATTAGTTATTTGGAACAACCTACAAGTCTTCACACTGCCTGTTCGTTGTCAGAAAAAATGTTGAACATTCACTTTGCATCAACGATTTTTTTCTTCCTTTCTGTTGCTTGTGAGTTATTAAAGAAAAAAGTACTGGAGTTACTCATAAAACACTCTGTGTGTAGTTTTTCTATTTGGAAGTGTCATTTGACTTCTCAGCCTTCATATTGAATGAATATGCAACATTCTTCCAATTTTTCAAGGAGATTCAGTCTGAATTTTGGGGGTCTCTGTTTCAGGATGACATCACAAATGTGAATGACATATTCAAGGATCTTGCATGTATGGTACATGAGCAAGGGGAAGTGATAGACACCATTGAGGGCAACATCGATGTTGGAGCTGCCAGAGTTGAAGCAGGTACTCAAGAACTTGCAAAAGCCAGCAGATATCAGGTATGACATTCTCAAAGAAATGACTGGCCCTCCACCATCACGTCACATATGGGTGTCCCAAAAAAGAGAACTAGAGTGATGTTGATCATTGTTTTCCCCTGCCTTCAAATCTTACAAGAAGATTTTCCAGGTAGATGGTGGCATTACCTGAGAAGATATATGGAGACATTGACACATATCAATGGCTGCTATTGGAGTCACTTAAGAAAATCATGAAAATTTCCAAATTTTGACCTGTCACTATGTTGCTTGCTGAAAGGATGGCTTAGATTGCCTTATGGAAAGTTTTCAAAATGTGATTTATACCTACCTAGAATATGAAAGTTTGACATGACACTCTTTTTTATACCTAAGTCCATGGTGAATTGAAGCACTTTTAAGTTTCTCACCATGTGGCTAAAGAAAAATGCAAAATAGAGGCTTAGCATGAACTATCATTAACATGAACATTCTCAAAACAAACTACTGATGAAATGTACTGTTAGTGGAATGCAGTGGAAGGCCATTCCAAGTCATGCAATTGAGGAGTTCTCTGGAAAAAGGGTGTATGTGCAAAAGATGCAATTTGAGGTAAATGGCAAAAACTTCCCACAGCTAATCTGCAGCTGGTCAAAAGTCAGTTTTCAGTCAAAATGGAATCTTAGACCTTTTTCCAATTGAACTTGGGGTTTTAACAAATTTCTCTCTATTTCAAATTGCTAGGTTGTAGGCAGAAAGTCTTAACCCCTTAACTGGGAAGTTTTCCATGAATAGTCAGACATCAAAAGATGTATAACTCAGTAAAGGAGTTATTCATCATCTGATTCTCCAGCTGTTTCATGGATGCAAGAAGTTTTGCCAACTTCTTGCATCCATGAAACAGCTGGAGAATCAGATGATGAGTAAATTAATAATGGATTACTGATGAGTAATTGGTGAATGAAACTTGTCTTGAATAAATCACCCTTTAATTGCTATTCTTTGAGGAAGAGTTGATTTGGAATCTGTAGACATATTTCTTGGTAAATTATGATATTTAACTGGAAAGAAGTGGTGAAAGAAAGTGATAAAAGTTTCAGTAACGTGGATATGGAAAAAGGGTGTATGTGCATTAACTCCTTTACTGAGTTATACATCTTTTGATGTCTGACTATTCATGGAAAACTTCCCAGTTAAGGGGTTAAGACTTTCTGCCTACAACCTAGCAATTTGAAATAGAGAGAAATTTGTTAAAACCCCTGAAATCATTCAGCAATGCAGGTGCTAATAGAATATTCATGGAGGCAGCCATATTGAAATTGTCAGGAAGTTGGCCTGCTATATATTGAAAGCATAGGAAAATCTGCTTCTCCTTTGCTGAATACACATTTTAACTTCCTGCCAATCACCCTATCCTATGACAAGTCACCTCAAGCAGCGTATGGACATGGATATGGAAAAGGGGCATATGGGGACTTTTTCCAGAGAACTTCTCAATTGTTGGGGGTGACTTGAATACTGTTTGCTTTTTGCATGGTTCTCTCACTCCATTCTTAACCTTTCATTCCAATGTTTCACTAGGTGTGACATTGCCCAATAACTCTTCAATTCCTTACCATTCAATGTTGCCACAATTTACAGTTTTCAGGAAGTAGTTTCGGTTTGGTATGATGCCACCATCTATAGTCCATTTGTTTAACTGTGTGTTCATGGAATTTTTTTAATCTTTAGTTCAAAATTTGCAGCATGGTTTTTATTTTTTTGTCATGCTTCTTAGAAAGAAACATGGTGTCCTCTTGTAAGAAGTGCTCAACTGAGGATGAGACTTTGCAAATACTAGATGATTCAGGTTGCAATTATGATTAAAAGTCAGAAAGCAATCATTTAATATCTGTCAACAAACTTTTATTTGCTGAATATTGCCCACTTTGCCCAATTTTCAGTCAAACTAAGTATTCATATTTTATGCTGAATTACAAAGAGCCTCTTTGAGCTGGCATGATGAAATAAAGAAGAATGTATTTAGTACAATCTCAGTTTCCCTAATTGAAAATTGAAAACTTACATTGGAAAATAAAATTGGGGACATAAATGGTAAATTAAAATGGAAAATTTTCTCTGAAAAATGATTCACTCAAAGGTTTCCTTAACGTAGACATTACTGAACAAAATCTATTAGCATGGAATTTCTTAACCAGTAAAAAAAATTGTCCATGTGCTGGATTGAGTGGCTGAGTGGTTCCAGCTTCCAAGTGATACCCTGCAGGTTCAGGATCAAATCTGGGTGGTGGCCAGCTCCTTTTCTGCAGTAAAAAACACATCTGCTTTCCTGGGGAGTGTGTGCCTAATGTGGGGTAACACACATGCCACTCTGTGTGCCACATCTAGGAGAAAACAGGTGTAGCACTCCTTAAAAATTGCACATGCCAGTCATGGCCATGGCAACTCATGAGCTGCTCTTAAGGCTTTCTTTAAGACCATAGAGGTGCATCTTTCCTGAAGGACTGTGATGCCTAGAATGGTGCCTGAGCCATGCAGGTGCCATTGTTCATAAATATCAGATGAATAAGGAAAAATAAATAAATTTAACATCATTGATAGAAAACAATGACCACATCCAACACATGCATTATTTCTCAATTTGCCCTACATTTTGAATTGGTTGAAAAAGGAAAGAAAAAAGTAATTCAATCTTATTATTTAAGAAATCACTGTATATTCAGCTCATTTAGAACACAGGATTACCATTTTAAAATTTCTGGGACCCCATTGTTTCATTACCACCAATTACCAATGGAAGATTACAGCATAAATTTTTAATCAAATTTTTTCCCATTTTGTTGTCCCCAACTTTATCTCCTTAACCCATATGCTGACATTTCCTCACTCTTAACAGTTGCTGTGAATGACCATTTAATTCGATTTAATGACTATGGAGAGCTAAAACCTCAAAGAAGACATAGCATGCCATCTATTGACTGTAGTGATGATTTGCAAAGAAGCTCAATTGATAAAGCAGACCTTTGCATGATCCCATCTGACAGATAGGCCAGTCAAGCAGCGCCCTGTATACCGAGCCTGTCTCTCAGATGGGTGAGTCAGTGGATTGGTTAATGTTACCAGCATATGAAATTGACTAAAAAAGATATACTAGCCACCTTCTCACCAATCATAGGAAAAAATTTCTGTGACTACCACAAAATATATCCTTCCATAAGCTTTCATTTGCCAAGTTAGTAACTGTCCCAAGTCACCCTATTTTACAATATTACAAGTTCACAACTTACAACTAAAAACTTACCTCTTCCTTTGTTCATTTTTCATTTCAGACATCTGCTCGGAAGAAGATATTCTTCATTTGCCTCCTCCTCTTGGTTGTGTGCTTGATTCTTGGCCTTGTCATTTATTTTTCTGTCAAGAAATGACCTCTCCCAATCAAAATGGGCAAACCTTCCCAGGAAGTCAAGCTGCCTCATGTGGAATGGTCTTTGCACATGGCTCTGGGCATGTGTTTGCAACTACTAGGCTTGAGTTTCAAGCCTAGATTTCAGCTGAATTGTTTTCTGTTTGTACCATATATTATTTCATGAGTCTATAGTTGTTTGCAAGAGGGGATATTTAGAAAATGCCTTTGTATGGTGAATGATGAGATTTTAATCTGTGTAATCTCCTCATAACTCTTCATTGGTTGAATCCTTTGCAGAGACTGCATATTTCCACTTTTCATTTAGTGATACCTCATGTGTTTCTACTTTCCATCATGTGGCGTTATTTCTAGTCCATTTTTGCATCATATAAAGCCCCAACCCTGGTGCAGGGAAACAAAAGCTGATGCAGAACTATGAAAATTACACTTCACTGTCTGTACCAATATGCTTCCATGGTGGTTGAACAGGAAGGAGGACCAACTGAAGACCTCAATGTGATGCTTCATTGCCTGTGATCCATAAGAATTTTTGGAAATGAATGTCTCTTCTCTGCTCTTCTGTCATATAGAGGAATATCTTCTTTGTGGTACCATTCCTGTATTTTTTATTTCTTTTCCAGTATTGGTGCGTATTTAACTATGGGACATCGACAAGGATCGTCAAATGGTAATGAAATGACGTAGTTGAAGTGTCAAAGTATGCTTTGATATATTCCTTGGCACTGAAAATGTTGGCTCCAGGCTGCATATTTCTTAGCCTAATTGGCTGTCCTCTTATCTATTGTTTCAGTCTTTTTTTTAGTGACTTTGGTACTGGCACCTGCTGCTTGGTGTGTATTGTTAGTTGAGCTGACAAGAGGCTTCCTTGCCAGATGGTTTGGTTATGTAGCTTCAGATAAACTTACATTTTGGCAAGAGATCTCATGCAATGAAATTGAACAGCAGCATCAATAGAAGTGGAGCACAATTCTGCAATGAGCACAATATTGCTTGCCCATTCAAAAGACAAACTTGGAAGATGATTTGTTGAGGAGTTATCTTTTTAGAGTTCTCTTCTTGCTCCTCTGTTCCATGGTACACTAAATTTGCTCTCTGCATGGAAAATGTCCACAAATTTCTATTCATGACGCTTGTCACATGATGTCTCATAACCAATAGAATGCTCATCAGTTATGTCAAACCCATCTGATCTGGTGCTTCCATGACATAGCATTTGGCAATAAGAGCAATAGCCAAAATATATTGTGGTTTGGAAGTTGATATTGTTCATTCAATTTAGTTTTCACATTATCTAACAATCTGAGCTGACACTTTAGATCAGCAGCTGTGAAAACCAGGAAAGACTAAGTGTAACTAAGTGGTCTGTTCATGATACATCATGTGCCTTATTTTCTGCACCTCTTACCTTCATAGGGAGGAGGTCTTGCCCTGTCGGTACAAAGCCGATCCAGATATTGAATGTAGCTGCTTTGAACACTTGACAAAGTTATCAGCATTTACTTTTTTCTGTGTAGGAAAAAAAAATCAAGTTCTTTCTGGATAAGCTGGTTGTAAGTCAGGGTGTAAAGTCATATTGTGTTTTAACTTCATATGTTGGTGCCATGATGTTTCAATGCATTTTAAGTGAGGCTACTTACATGACGTAGGAGAGTTCTTTCTTACAAACCATGGAAACAAAGAACTGAAAAAGTTTTTAAAAGGCATTTGAGAACACTCTGGGATTTTAAACTTCTTCCAACTAGGGTTATATGCAAAGTGCACAAAAATGAGCTTCAAGTCTCCCTCTGTTGTCAATGCTTGAATCTGAAGACTGGTGTATATTTTCCCCATATCTTTCCATGGGTCTGAAAGACTGCTTTTTGCTTTGTTATATGTAAATCAATTTCTGTCTCTATTTGCATTGTTGCATGTTTACCTGAGGACACATTAATGATTACTGCCTCTTGGAAGAAGATTGAGCCCTTATGAGAACTGATTTGGATCTGTTTGCATATCTCTATATTACCAAGAAATGAGAGCAATCATGATAAAGATGAAATGTGTGAATGCCAAGCATTAGGGAGAAAGAATAACAGTAGAGCTCATGTGGATGTGTCCTTCACATTGGATGTAGATGGGAACAGTTCATCCACTTCTAGAGCATCTGTGGCTCAGATGTGGAAATCTGCATTCTGTAGATGATCAGTTGAAAGGCCTGGCATATAGTGTATACAACCAGATATGAATCTATCCCCTTGATAGGATTGGCAAATGCAGGGAGTTTCATATTTGGCTGAATGCATTTAAAAAGGAGTGATCAGTGGCAAAACTCCTTCCGACCTGAAGGAACGAAAATATAATGTTGAGTGCTTTAGCAGTTATGTTTCTTAACATCTGTATGAAATTTCAGCTCCATCAGGTTGCTTTTTTCCCCTTCAGGGAAAGTTTAGTTGGGAATAACAACTGATATGACTATTTTTTAAAAAGAGGAACGAGGGCCAATCATACGATTTTTTACTCATTCAGGCGATAATGCTGTCAATATTCATAAGCAGTTGGCTGATGTCATTGTAGGGATCGTCTTTTTGGTAATAAATGTGGTGCCATCTGTTTTTATTTTCTATTTTGAAAATTTAGTCTCATTTAAAATTTAAGAAGTTATTTATACCAAATGTAATTCAAAAGTCAATAGACTTAAAGATTAAGACAATGATATTAGATAAATAGCTGAAGTTTCACATAAAAAGTAACAACTATTAAAGCATTGCGACGCTGTTCTCTCGCATTGTGTAGCCTTTAGAAATCTCTTCGTATTGAAGGCATATCGCAATAAACACACATTCAAAAGTTTTCAGCAACGCGAAATTGAGAGAGTAAAAGTGTTTTATTGTTCTCAGTTTCCAGAGCACTAACAGTTGCATTTTCCCCTCCGAGTCACAACTGCAATTTTCCATATAATTGAATGAGTGCATCACTGTAGCGATACTCTAGGTAATCCATGGAATCGTTGAATACCGGTCAGAGGTTGAGTGTAGGAGGAGGATTCGTCCTTTTCCGCGAGACACAACATTAAAGGGATAGAGTTCCTTTTAGTCGAGTTGGTTGAATCCGCCTCTTGCTGAGGTATTAAAGGGACACAGAAAGTTCATCGCCGAAAACAAAGCCCCTGCTTTAGCATGGCGACTAATATTCCGTTCAGCAGCAGCTAGCGGAATTCGGTCAGTACCAGTCGGAAACCCCAAGGAGCTTGCATCACGGCTGCTGAAGAGCTGGTGATGATAAAGGAGGCGCGAACTCCGACTTCCAGAAGGAGACGATTGCCTTGTAGTTCTTTCAATCTGAAACCAAATACAACAGGGGATATGAGGATTGAAAAATATAATGGATTTTTCCTGATCATCTCAGGGATTTCCGCCTGTGATAAACCTGAAGTTTGATTATATAGCTTCACTGTTCATTCAACATTCCTCTTCGACGTTTTCCATTTTCCTGCCGATATTGATCCGACATTGAGTACCATCAATGTACCGCACCATCTATATTTTCACCTATCAACAGTTTTGATTATCGACGTTTTCATATTCGACATTCCCCTGTAAACCCAATATTTGGCGATAGCATCTGTGGATCGAATGTCGACTGCCGGATAAGCCGGCTGCTTCAGTCCGTTGCTTTAGCTAATCTACACATCCAATCTCACCCTTGATGCTGGATTGCTACGGCACCTTGTAGACTCATCATCAGACCCATGGGTGCCGCGGGATGCTGGCAAGGGTGCCGTGGGTGTTATTTCAATTTTGATCATAGTTGATTTATATTGGGTTCTTCTGGTATGTACCTTTATTAAAATAATATCTATCCAGGAGGAATGTCAAGGTCAATATTGTTGCTGCAGCGAATATACTGATTCCTTTTTATTACCATGTAAGTTTGTCTACCTTTCTCGTTCTTGATACAAAAAAAAAATGTTCATGCCCCGTCTAAGCAATACATGTGGACAGCATGAGGTCACTTCAAAATTAGAGCCGCTTCTTGATTTTTAGGGCAACCAAAGGCAGGCTCAGGTATTGCGTTGGGAGGGGAAAAAATTTTTTTTGAAGACTTTTTTTAAATCATGATTTTTCCAGGTGACAGATCACGATACACCTGTTATGCATGAATTCAAAAGGCCTGGTCAGGCTCATTTTATTGGTTTTGCATATATATTAATATTTATTTTGGAGGCTCGTGGAATGTTCAGGGGTGCCGCCGACGTCTCGCCGTCTGAGAAAGTAACTAAGTAACAAAGAAAAGTAACAGGCCATCACAAAGAAAAGGTTGAGAACCACTTGCTCTATGTAATACTCTTAGTTTCGTCTGATATTCTTCCCGATTAAGCTCGAACCAAAATCCTTGAATGTCGTCAGAAAATATAAAATCGCGCCATTTTCAAGGCGTCCTATCCAGAAGAATCACAACAGCATAAGCTGCAATGAAACAAAGGGCAGCTCTAGATCCAGAGATGGCTCTAAGAGGTTCAAATGTGAAGTTGTTCTCGATTATCGACCAAGTTCAGTGCTTCTCCTAGGAAGGCTAATAACGTGAGTTTTTTTTTATTACTCCGTATGTGGGGAATTTCTCGGACGGAAGCCTACCACCGGAGCGAGAACTTTTTTTTCGTGAAAGTAATAATTGTGTTTCTGCAAACTCATTACAGTAGACGCTGCTTATTGTGACCACGTTGATGCAAGGAAATTCGATAACATTAAGCAGCTTATAACAGTAGCCAGTGATCACAATAAGCGGTGTCTACAGTACTCCTTTTCGATTTTCCACTCCTATTTTCAACTTCGAGTTTGTACTTAACTCAAACTCGAAATATAGCACAACAAAAAAAATGTGAAACCCGCATGGGGAGCGTTTCACCGTGACGATATATACGTCACACCCACTCAAGGGGAATGAATGTCTTTTTCTCTCAAACCTCATAAGCATGAACCTGGGGCTATAATAAGGTGCATCGAAGAGGTCCATTTCTGAATGCGAGTAGCTAGCAATAATTGAGCGAATCCATCCTCTTTCCACGTGTGTCGTCACATTAGCCTCCTTAATCTCTTCTATTTCCGGCGACCGGATCCAGAAGTGGAAGGGAGTGCCTTCCAGAGTTGCACGTGAACGCAGGGATGTCGTGACGGTGCGAGACTCGAATGAGTAATACAGGGTGGCTAAAAAAAAAGGTAATCTTTTTCAATGGGCTTTTTAGGGATGATGTTTTCAATGACATTTTTTGCCCGTTGCACGTAATGGAAAGAAGAAACACTCAACTACAAAATGCTTTTTCCGACTTGAAATGGTGACTTCGAAAAATATATATTAATCTTCCAATCCAAACAACCTCGCGACGTCTGCTGAGGTCGGCGTTTCCCTTTCTCGTGAGTGCCGGGCCGTCGAGGTCGAGTCGTTGACCGCAACGCCGATTTTTCGGAACCGAAATTCAATCCTTTTTTCGAAGTCACCGTTTAAGATATTTCAAGACTGAAAGAAAGCATTTTGTTGCCAAGTCTTTCTTCTTTCCATTACATCTAACCGGTAAAATTTCCTTTAAAACATCACACCCATAATGCGCATTGAAAAGTGTGCCTTTTTTGGGCCACCCTGTACGTAATTGAGTAGTTCATAATTCTGTGGAATATTCTCGTAGCATTCCTATTCTCGTATGATTCCAATTTTGTCTCACGTCCAGAGCGAGTCCCCCGCACTCAGCCACGCGGCCGTGCTTCTTTAAATGTGAATGCCTGTCACTTTCCAGTGTCTCTCTCTCTCTCTCCCCCTTACAAACTTGCACATCCTCCGTCCTCTTAGTTGAAACAGGTGATTTGGGGATATCTCTACCCCTTGCAACTATCCCCATCGAAAAAAGGCATTTCTTCCAAGTTATCGGCGCTCGAAAGCGGAGAGCGGCAGGAAGATGGAGTGCACTGCCTCGACAACGTCACCGAGCGAGGGGATCTCCCCTCTGACATCTGGAACGGATAACATCCCCCAGTTATCGGGGGATTTTGCCAAGAATGGGCCAAAGATGGATCCAATCTGTGCCCAACGGATCATGATCCATGGGCATCACCAGGGAAGCCTCCCCCACCTCCCCCTCCCCTCCCTCCCCCCT